TGATCCTTCATCATTCCCATTATTTTCAGTCGCTTTGCCATTTGTAATTCTTTTACAGCAAACTTTCTCCAAAGGGGATTCAGATGAAGTGCAATTATCGGGCAGCTGGAAGTGCGAACTTCTCATATTCTCCTATCTGCATTCATCCCTGACAAGCAATTTGTCCATTTCAGGAACAAACAATTTCCACAACGACTGTACGATCACAAGAAAATCATGGCTTTACCTCTCCCTGATCTTGTTTAATTAACAATCAACGCCTAGATGGGACTCGCCAGTCACACACAACAGACAGGTTTGTTTGCTAATGTTTATTTGTCAAGTCGGCCAACACTGGTCATTATACATCCAAGCCGACTCCCTCGGCTGCCATCAAACAACTTTCCTAAGAAAAAAAATCATCTAGAATATGAAAATGCCAATTATTCATTCTTATATGAAGGGCACACGTACAGCAGCCGGCAATTACATATACACACGCTATAACATCGGATGCTTTTTTAGCATTCATCTTAAAAAGAAAAAATTAAAAAAATCGTTTCAGATCAAATATAGTAAATTTGTGACACATATACAGCTCATAAATGCCACATAGGCATGCATTAACTACTATAGATTTCATCCATGCAGTATAAAGTATTGGACTTATGAAACAATGCGTAAAAAAGATGCCTGGGACACTATAAGTTTGAGATATTCTTGAAACACTACTTATAGTATATATAAAATCTACTTATAATCAGTAATTAACAACAAATTACACATCGTATAAAAACTCAAACAAATAGATAGATAGATAGATAGATAGATAGATAGATAGATAGATAGATAGATAGATAGATAGATAGATAGAGCTATATAGCATAAACACAAGAAACACAAACAAACAATTACAGAAAAGAAAGAAAGAAAAAGAAAGAAAAAAGAAAGAAAGAAAGGTATATAGCATAAACACAAGAAACATAAACAATTACAGAAAAGATAGATAGATAGATAGATAGATAGATAGATAGATAGATAGATAGATAGATTAAATAGAGCTGTATTGTGAGTGAGTGATACGGTATAAGCACAATAAAAACAAAAACAATTACATTGTTTCATAAGATAGGCAGATCAATAGTTGTAGATGTGGCTATTTAATATAAAAGCAATTAAAACAAACCCAAACAATTACAAGATAGATAGATAGATAGATAGATAGATAGATAGATAGATAGATAGATAGATAGATTATAAAAAAAAATCCAAAAACAATTACACATATTCAAACCATAGATAGATAGAGTATAAAACAATCCCAAACATTTACACATAATGAAGCCATAGATAGATATATGTAGTATAAAAAGCATAAAGTAAAGCTATAAAAAAAACAATGAACACAAACCCAAACATTTACACATATACATAGATAGATAGCTATATAGTATAAAAACAAACACCAGCAATACACATACACATTAAAAAAAAAAAAATAAATAGGGTATAAAATAAATTGTTACACACAATCTCTCTTTCATTGTATTTATCAAATATGTACATGCAGGTATATATGAATATATACCTATATGTAGATATATATACTACCTACCAGATTTATCAGTCCCTGCGCTGGAAGGAACGTGTACACTTATCACACTTGAAATATCATTACCGTTCTGGGCTTGATCCACCTCTTCAATAAAGAGTGAATGTCTTAGCAAATAAAAAATGAAAATATGATATTAGCACTAGGTTTTGACAAAGGGTTGCTTTCCCTATTTCTACAAATGGTTTTACAGTACTATTAGAGCTTGGTGTGGTGGTTAATGGTTTACAAGGGCACTGCGAGGAGCTGATTGGCTGCTGCCCCCTGTTTCGTCACTGCCTTCTCCATAAGGCTAGCTTGTACAGCAGCTGGGAACATGCAGTCCAGGGAAGGCAGTTCAGATGGGAAGAGACAGTGAGTGGAGCATTCCCAGACCTGTAGGATCAGACCTGAGCCGGCTCTCTATGCCACTTCCCAACCCTTGCCATCATGTGCATCTGGCAATAGAAAGAAAGGGGAGACTTTGATCAGACTTTGATTGAAACCAAGAACAGCCTGGACCCCTCGCTCTAACTAGCCCCACCAGATCTGGAAAGCTTCATGGGCTAGGTATCTGCTACCTGCATGCAAAGAACTGACACAGGCAACAGAAGCACCTCGTGGATCGGAGCCTACAAGCAATCCACCACCAAGACAGGGAGTAGTGCGCGGCTTTCCTTTGACATTTGGCATCAGAGGCGAAAGCCCACCACCTGGTATTTCTTTGGGAAAGCGAAAGCACTTTCATCACTGACTGAGCTACCTCAGAATCCACAATCCAATTGATCGCTGTCACTTGGGGATTTCATCGTTGGCGGTGAGATTTGTCCTGTAGTTTGGGTGCCCGTCCTGTGGATCCTCTGATTCTTCTATCTGACAACCAAAGACAATGGTGCACTGTGCGGGCTGCGAGAGGCCCATCCTGGACCGCTTCTTGTTGAACGTTTTGGACAGGGCTTGGCACGTCAAGTGTGTTCAGTGCTGTGAATGTAAATGCAACTTAAACCGAGAAATGTTTCTCCAGAGAAAGCAAGCTTTACTGTAAAAATGACTTCTTCAGGTAAGTGATCGTCCCGGAACCACCACCCCCCCCCCTCAAAAAAAAAAAGGGGGGGGGGTTCGGTTTGGACACATGGCTAGAACTTCCTGATCACAGGTCAGCTTTTACCAGACTTGATGCGAACAAGTGCTACTGCTTGGGGATCTTCTCACAATCGTGTCACACACCTGTGTTTGTCTGTCTGTGTACACAGCACTGTGCACCCCTCCTTCACACTCTACAAGAATGTGCTATCATGTCACAGCCAGGACCTCATATACAGCCCAATACATATATGGGGGGGGGGTACACATCATACAATCATACAACCTGAGGGGGGAATATTACATCACACTATTCTCATATAAAGACCAACATATGGTCTTTTATATGAGAGGGGGGGGGGGGGGTAGTACATCATATAACCTGAGTATAAAAATAGTGGGAAAATATAGTACACAATATACATATTATATTCTCATATACAGACCAACATACATATATAGAGAGAGAAGGGGAATAGTACACACATTATAATCTCATATACAGACCAACACATATATATATAAAGAGAGAGAGAGAGAGAGGGGGGGGGGGATAGTACACACCACATTATAATCTCATATACAGACCAAAATATATATAGAGAGAGAGAGATGGGGGGGGGGGGGGGGTAGTACATCATACAACCAATGAGGGGGAGAATAGTACACCACATTATATTCTCATATACAGCCCAACATATATATATAGAGAGAGAGAGAGGGGGGGGGGATAGTACATTATATAACCTGACGGGAAGAATAGTACAACACAATATATTCTCATATACAGACCAACATATATAATATATATATAGAGAGAGAGAGAGAGAGAGAAAGAGAGAGAGAGAGAGAGAGAGAAGAGAGAGAGAGGGGGGGGGTAACATCAACATCATAAACCTGAGGGGGAGAATAGTACACCACATTATATTCTCATATACACAACATATATAGAGAGAGAGAGAGAGAGAGAGAGGGGGGGGGGATAGTACATCATATAACCTGAGGGGGGAGAATAGTACACCACATTATATTCTCATATACAAGCCCAACATATATATATATATATAAATAGGGAGGGGGAATAGTACATCTTATAACCTGAGGGGGTGAGTATAGTACACCCCACAGTATATTCTCAAATACAGCCCAATATATATATATAGAGAGAGAGAGAGAGAGAAAGAGGGGGGAATAGCACATCATATAACCTGAGGGGGAGTATAGTACAACCACAATATATTCTCGAATACAGTCCAGTATATATATATATAGAGAGAGAGAGAGCGTGAGGGGAAGAATAGTACACCACATTATATTCTCATATACAGCCCAACATTTTTATAATATAGAAAGAGGGGAGGGGGGATAGTACATCATATATAACCTGAGAGGGTGAATACTACACACCACATTACAATTTCATATAACAGCCCAACATATACATATAGAGCAGAGAGAAAGAGAGAGGAGGGGGGTACATCATGTACCCTTTTTATACAGCTCAATATTTAGAGAGAAGAACAGTATAATCATATAATCTCATAATACAGCCCAATATATATAATTAAGGAGAGAAAAGACATAGTACATCATATAATGCCATATGCAGACCGAAATATACATATATAGAGAGAAAGTACAACATGTAACCTCATATACAGACCTAAATACGGAGAGAGGAAGATTTATAACATCATATAATGCCATATGCAGACCGAAAAATACATATATGGAGAGAAAGTACAAAATATAACCTCATATACAGCCCTACATATATAGGGAGAAGTTTTAGTACATCACATAATGCTATATACAGCCAGCAATATACACACACACAAATATATCACATATATAGATAGATAGATAGATAGATAGATAGATAGATAGATAGATAGAGAGAGCAATAACCTCATACAAAGCTATAATACATATATATATATATATATATATATATATATATATATATATATATATATATATATATATATATATATATATATATATATATCGTTTTATGATGTACTAGCTCCATTTAAATATATACATGTGTATACTGAATATTGGGCTGTATATGAGGTTATATAATGTACTATCTCTTTTTCTCTCATATATATATAGAGAGAGAGAGGTGTATATGAGGTTTTATTTTTTATTGATACTCTCTCGTCATATATATATATATATATATATATATATATATATATATATATAGGTTATATGATTTTACCAATTTTCTCTCTCTCTCTGTATATGTATATATAGAGAGAGCATCATATACCTTCCTACATTGCTGTATATATAGAATATATATTAAGTTCATATTTTGCTCTATATATATGTGTGTGTATGTATGTGTGTGTATGTATATGTGTGTGTAAAAGCGAGCACATCATATAAACTTTATATTTCGCTGTATATTCTGAGAGAGAGATAGATAGATATAGATAGATAGATAGATAGATAGATAGATAGATAGATAGATAGATAGATAGATATAGATATAGCATTTCTGGTAAGAAAGATCAACGATCTCCCCTAGGTAAAAATAAATTGGTCTAAAATTGGACAATGCTTTTAAAGGAACATGTGTCCTACATCAACTGGTGCTTTGAATGTAAGGGTCCAATCATTTTGAAGGAAATAGGTTTATACTACATAGGTCGTATTCAAACTACATATATACTCTAAATATGTCATTTTCCTCCGACTTCAGGCTGGATGTACGGCGCTATGCTATATCATGACAGCCGAAAATATTGAGTAGGATGTCGGCTTAAGAAAATTGCTGTCTAGATAGATAGATGTAGATGATAGATAGATAGATAGATAGATAGATAGATAGATACATAAATATATATATTATTTATATATATATATATATATATATATATATATATATATATATTAATATATATATATATATATATATATAATTATCACATCTATCTGCTGCAAGGTCCCCTGGAAGATAGTGTTTGACAATCTGTCTGCATACATAAGATCCATGTAGTAGCTACACATAACCCCGGGTAGCCTACAAACCTCCCCTGTCAACTGTGAATTTATTTACCATCTGATGAATATTTTAGTGGTGACAAAGGAGAGATAAAGACTCCTTGGAGATCGTCTGAAAATGGATCTAATGCCCCCGATCATTGGAAAGGGGGGAGCTGCTATCAGTCGGCCAGCAGATGCACACCGTGTATTTAGGAGCACTGGTAGAAAACTACCCAAATGGTTTGATAATTATATAGCCCCAGATGCATTTCTCACGCAGTGTTTTTTTTCGAGGTCAAGCGGCGAGTTAAAATGATAATTTGATGGATGAAAAGTGACACGTTTTCCTCAGATAAAGAGCTGATCTTTCATGATCCTTTCATGTCAATGGCCTTTAACAGGCTCAGGGAAAATGTCGCTTTTGCCCTCCTTGACAAGCGGCATACATAGAGTTCTGTTTCCAAAGATCAACTCAGAACACAAGATCAGCACATACACATCATTTTAATTAGAAAGCGGCCATGTCTTCTTAAATCTGGACTTAGTTCACATTTGCAACCTTTTTAAAGGAGCATTTCTTAGCATGGATTTAAAAAGAGCTGAGAAAAGAAAAAAAAAAATATATTCTGATATTGGCTGGGGTTGTACATTGACTTGGAAAGGAGATAGTGTCACCCCCCTATTTCTCTAGAACCCCCCCCCCCTCCATTTATCTAGAACTTCCCCATTTCTCTGGAACTCCCCCCATTTCTCTAGAACTCCCCCCATGTCTCTAGAACTCCCCCCATTTCTCTAGAACTCCCCCCATTTCTCTAGAACTTCCCCTATTTCTATAGAACTCCCCAATTTCAATAGAACTCCCCCACTTCTCTAGAACTCCTCCATTTCTATGGAACTCCCCCATTTCTCTATAGCTCCCCCCAATTCTCTAGAACTCACCCATGGCTCTAGAACTCCCCCACCATGTCTCTATAACTCCCCCCATTTCTCTAGAACTTCCCCTATTTCTATAGAACTCCTCAATTTCAATAGAACTCCCCCATTTCTATAGAACTCCCCCCCCCCCCCCCATTTCTCTAGAACTCCCCCGTTTCCCTAGAGCTCCCTGTATATTGTTGATGGGATTGTCAGGGCTCTCAGGTATGTTTATTGTAGAGAAGAAGGTATGCAGAGATCTGTGTATTCAAGCAGAAGGAAATGACACCTTGAAATGTACCTACAAGTGACTCATATGCTGAGTGCTGAGAAGGCCCCGGCTCCTTATTGGTTGTGGATTTTAGGAAATAAGTGATAACTAGATTTGAATAGGAGAGGTGTAAGGAGGAAACCACAGGACAATTGCAGAGCAGACCCACAATCAACATTCTCTCACTGTTTTCTGTCTAGTGGAATACCAGTGTCATCTGTAATAAGTGTCATTCGAAAGAAAAAAAAAATCGTTACAAATCCACACATCCCGATCAATTAGTTTTTGTATAGATCTCAATAGCAAGGTATTTATATTTATTATTATTATTATTTTAGATTTAATAATTCCTAGCCTAAGCCTAATGCTTTATTTCGTTTTATTGTATATTGCTTCCAAGGTTTTACAAACGTAAGTCTTCTAAAACAGCACTGGGCATTAATGTTTTAGAACATTTTATTTCGTTGTTAATTATTTAATATTTGATTTGTATGTACTTATGGAAGGTGTATCTTTTTTTTTTTTTCATCAACCCAAATTTAGAAAGGGTAAATGAATCGGATGTGATATAAATATATTTCCCCAGTGCCAGTTGTAGATGAGTATGATGATTGGAGTTACCCATCGGTTCATCCAAACCATGTATATGTAGGAATCGTTCAAGTGATTGGAGGATTGTTTTTGATTTCACTGTTTGTATTGAGTGTTTTTCTTTTTTGTAGTTGCCCAGCAGACTGTGGTGTGAGAAAATGATAACGATGTGTTTTCCCCCTCTCTGTCTCTGCTAGAGACGTTTTGGTACCAAGTGTGCTGGCTGCTCCCAGGGAATCTCCCCCAGTGACCTGGTCAGGAGGGCAAGGAGCAAAGTGTTCCACTTGAACTGCTTCACATGTATGATGTGTAACAAACAGCTCTCCACTGGAGAGGAACTCTATATCATTGATGAGAACAAGTTCGTCTGCAAAGAAGATTACCTAAATAACAACAACGCTGCCAAAGAAAATAGTCTTCTCTCAGGTAAGACAACACCGACTGGGTGTTCTGAGACCCTCTTCCTCTATTTCTCCTGCTCCCCCTTTATATTCGATCTTTTCCAGAATCTCCTCTTCTCGCTTCCCCTTTCTTTTCACCCTTTCCCTTTATCACTCCTTTTCTCCTTCTGTCTCTCACTGTTTTCCCTCTACCTTCCTATCTTCTTCTTTCCTTCCTTACTCCACCCTCCTTCCTTTCCTTGCCTTGTCCCCCTCTCTTTCTGCCCAATCTCTCTTTTTTTCTCTCTCTTTTATCTCTCTTCCTCTGTCTATCTCTGTTTATTTCTCTCAATCTCTTCCTCTGTCCCTTCCTCTATTTTATCTATATTCCCCTCTTTTCCTCTCTCTGTCCAACTCTTTTTCTTTATTTCTTTCTTCTTATCTTTTTATCACTCACTGTCTATGTTCTATTTCTCCCTCTCTCTCTCTCTCTCTCTCTCTCTCTCTCTCTCTCTCTCTCTCTCTCCTTCATCATTCCTTCCCCCCCCTCTCTCTCTTTTTCTCTCTGTCTCTGCCTCTCTCACTCTCTCTGTCTCTCTCTCTCTCCCTCTCTCCACCTTCCTGTTTCCCTCTCTCTCTTTTTATGCTTCTTTCCATCTACACTTTTATTGTCAGAACCTATAGGGAATAAATTATTAAATAATGAATATAATCATTTAAATTCCCCCTTAACTTTGCACTTGAAATACCCAGTCCACCCTTTTTTATATGTTTAATATAACTGGGAATTTGGAGTGACCACAGGCCAGGATGAAAAAATCAGAACCTAGACCCTATAATTCTCTCTCTCCCTCCCCTTCTCTTTCTCCCTCCCCCTCTCCCTCTCTTTCTACCTCTCTCCCTCTTTCTGTCCTTCTCCCTCCCTCTCTCTCTCTTCCTCTCCTTCTCTCATTCTCTCTCTTTCCTTTGATATGTCTTCCTCTCATCCCACAGGTCTGTATCTTTTTGCACATCTCACCTTAGTCTATGCACAGTCTTGCTCTCTCTATTATTCCCTTTCGTTCTTATCTGCCACAGGCATTGTAGTCAATATCCCTATACATATTTGTATATATACAGTATATATATATATATATACAGTATATATATATATGTGTGTGTGTTTATTTTGTCCCCTGTGACTCACAATGTAAAAGGTTAGAGCAAAAAGCTAATAGACCCAATCTGTGCTGTGTATACAAGCGAACGGTCTTGATCTGATGGCATCCTCCTTTGTTTGATATAACTCGTTTTTTCCCCTCCCTGGAATAGTGACAGGCAGTGACCCCAGTTTATCTCCTGACTCCCAAGACCCATCTCAAGATGACGCAAAGGACTCTGAAAGCGCTAACATCTCTGATAAGGAGGCTGGGATTAACGAAAACGATGACCAGAACCTGGGGGCGAAAAGGAGAGGACCCCGCACCACTATCAAAGCCAAACAGCTGGAGACTCTGAAGGCTGCATTTGCGGCTACACCGAAACCCACCAGGCACATAAGGGAGCAGCTGGCCCAGGAGACCGGTCTCAACATGCGGGTCATACAGGTAATGGCAGTGCGGTCACCGCAGGGCATCATGGGGCACACACTCATCAAAGCACTCTTCAAATATTCACAATGTACAGCATGGGAGATTATGGCGTTCCTGTACTTAATCAACACTGGGCTAAAAATTCCCAATCCCTGCTCACCTGTGATCCTTCAAATAAAAAGTATACATTAGCTTCATCTGATTGGCTAACTGAAACCAATGCCTAGGGGGGATGGGGTGACAGGCTCGCTGACCTAGACAGCAGCGCTGCATAGAAGTACAGTACATGTGGCTAATTGAATATTAACAGTGGCTTGTGTATAAGAAAAGGGTTCAAAAGAATTTTAGAAAGCTCTCAGATTTTAGGTTACAAGGCCGTCATGATTTTCTGTGCTTATGTGAATACAAATAATATAATATGCTTTACAAATATATTAGTGCAATTGGCTCTGGCAGTTGAAAAATAATAGTAGTTGTAATAACAATAATAATAATAATAATAAAAGCAGCAGTAGTAATAGAAGTAGTAGTAATTAAAAAAAGAAGAAAAAAAACAATAATATTGATAATATTAATAACAATTACAATAGTAGTAGTAGTAATAATAACAATAATACAAGTATTAGTAGTAAAAGAAGCAATAAGAAGAAGGAGTAAGAGAAGAAAAGTAATATTAATAACAACAATAATAATAATTATTATTATTATACAGGATTTATATAGCACCAACAGTTTGTTCAGCGCTTTACAATATAAAGGGAGGCAATACAGCAATGATACAATTCAATACAAGAGGGTTAGAAGGGCCTTGCTCCTTGGAGCTTACAATCTAAAAGGAAGGGGCTGGTGGTACAAAGGTAAGAACTGTGTCGGATGAACTGATAGGAGAAGTAGAAGATTTGGTTATTAGCTGAAGGCAGGATAGTAGTAATACTAATAATAACAACAATAATTATAGCAGTAGTAATAGAAGTATTAGTAATAAAAATAAAGAGAAGAAAAAATATTAACAACAATAAAATAATAACAATAATAATAGTAGCAATAGCAGTAGTAGTAATAATAATAATAATAATAAAAGTAGCGGTAGTAATAGAAGTAGAAGTAATAAGGAGAAGAAGGAGAAACACACAACAATATTATTATTATTATTAGTAGTAGTAGTAGCAGTAATAATAATAATAGCAATAATAATATTAATGATAGGACATAGCAACACTCTTGGCCGGTGTGGGTTTCTATATATATATATATATATATATATATATATAAAACACATAACTAAAATTCAGTAAGGGAATACACATCTTTTCAGTATGCACCTCCTCTCTCATCATTTATTGGCCTTAACGGATTGAATAGGGGTATCAACTTGCAAATGGACTAGAAATTAATAACCATAAATGTGAGGGGTTAATGGAAAAATAAGAATGACAATGAGTTGGGATTATTAAAAGGTTTATAAACCCGCAGAGCTGGGGGTAATGGAGGGTTAAAAGATCATTAAGGCGAGGTTAGATTGGAAGAACCTTAGTGCGAGGATAATTAGGAGTAATCTTGTCAGGGTAATAAGAATTAACTCAATCATTCTTGACCTAAAGCGGAAAGCTAAGCAAGGGGAAAGCTAAATACATTCAACTATTTCATTCAATATCAATTTAAAAAAAAAAAAGAACAGAAAATAGAAAGCAAAGCAGTGACTGTACGCTTTTCTTAGGATCCACTTGAGTGAAATAATCTTCCCAGGCTAGGGAGTTCAGACAGGTCACCATGTCCCCCCAATCCCAGTTAATGAGTGACAGCACTGTACTGGGAGCTCCTTTATCTACCCATCGCCGTATCGCACTTATCACACATATCGCACATCTCCGCATATTGCGATAACAGATCTAGCAATCGGAAACAAGGTGAAATAAAATCACCCCCATCTCATCTCTAGAGACCATGCTCAGTCATCCCAGGAAAGTATGGTTTATGGGTTAGTTTTGAATTGCTACAATTTATAGGATGATTGACTAAGGGAGGAGAGGAAAAAAAGATTAGTCATGCGAGAAAGAAAGAAAGAAAAAAAAAAAAAAAGAAAGAAAGAGAGAGAGAGGAAAGAAGGATAGAAAGAAAGAAAAAAGAAAGAAAGAAAGAAAGAAAAAGAAAGAAAAATTATTTTTATATGATTGGATATTTAAAATAAATCTTCATTTTTGTGTCTGTATCAGCCTCAGTGCTTTTTTGTTACCCCTATATAAAATTATATCTAATCTAATTTTCTGTGTAGTCATATATTTGATTTTTCTTTTTTATTTAAAGCGGCTTTTCATGTTTAAGGCAATATATTGAATATATATATAATTTATTTTTTTCAATTATTTTTCTTATATTTGTGTATAATATTATATATAAAATATACCTTATATATTGTAGCCCAGCACACACGCTTCCAACCACGCTTGCTAGCATAAAACAACACCCTTGGTACAAGATCTCCAGTATTGTTAGTGATCTCAATGGCAGCAGGATTATAGAAGAAGGGGATTTATGAAGTGGATGTGAAAACAGTCCAAGGAAATCTATCAATTAAAAGTAAAAATAAGTTGTTAGTCACTTTTGATGGCGCAGGCTACAAAAATGTTGTATTTGTTCGGTATCTGGATTTGTGGTTGGAAACAATAGTAGAATATATTTTTCAAGCTGGATTTGGTCAGCGAGATGACAGGAGATAGGCAGGATTTGTTCTTGTTGTGTATGGAACGGGGCAGTGCGCGCATGCGCAGTGTGTGGACCTCTTGGAGATGCTTAGATTGTTGTTGGCATGGCTAAGAACCTAGTCACCTATGTTATATGAAGTATCCTGTCCATAGCCAGATGAGTATTAAAGTAAATGTATCCCACGACTAAATAATAAGTAATAAATGTTGCAGAGTTGGTTGTATCACTGTTCACAGCTGTCTTGGCTATACAAGACATGTAAGCCTTATATTTTGGATAATGTCATGGTGTATGGAAATGGATGTTAAAGTCAGAGCAGTGCAGATCAATACAAACAGGGTAAAATATATGTTAAATATTTTATATTTTATATATTTTGGATAATGTCATTTTTGGATATATTTTGGATGCTGGTGTATGTATGGAAATGGTTGGTAAAGTCTGGGAGCAGTGCTGATCTGTACAAGCAGGGGGAAGGTATATACTAATATCTAGCTTCACCTGTAGACAACTAATACTGATCATTCATTCCCAATTATAACATGAGAATTATTGACAGAGGCTTGAAATTTCCAAATAGGTTACTAGGTCTGACTTGAAAAATGAAGGAAGGTATCTAATTGGTTGCACAGGACAATAGTTGAATTTTTTGTAGCAGTTTTCTCTGCTCCCATACTGTTCATCTGCTGAAATAGGATTGTTACACTCCCCTTAGAGGTGGACGTATACTGTATAAAAGATGCATATGTGAAATTAAATGTATGCAATAAGGTGATTTATTGAACACCATAGTATACCAGTGCTTGGCTTTCAAACCTGTATCTCCTGGTCTTACAGGCTTGATGAAAGGCAGCTTGTACATTGCATCTGGCAAATGGTCATATGTGGTCCATCACGCTCATATTCTGTTGCCAGCATCTTTTAGCCAACCCTAGGCGCATTTACTCCATCATGAAGGACCTCAGGCCTTGGCTTTAAAAGCTCAACCGCCTAACTAGACAACATATTAATAAAGGCCTATGTAGATTGAATACCTACATGTATAGTGTAATCAGTGGAACTGGGGTTTGCTACCCTCCAACTTTTAGACAATGGGGTTCTCGGAGTGCAAAATCTGGTGAAGCTGTTCATGGTAGCCAATCAACTTCTAACTCCAGCTTGTTCAAGTAAGCTTTGACAATAAAATCAGGAATTTGGTTTTTATGTAGAGATGCATCACATTTTGTACTCTCCAGTTTTAGTAAATCAACCCCAAGTAGTTCATTTTAAACCTGAACTTGTGTAAAGACATGTGAAAGTGTAAGGATGCTTATGCTGTGAATTGTTGCTTTGGGCATCAGCTCCTCTGTGGTATTATAGACACTTACCCTGAGAATGACCAAAAATTTTGCCAACATTTTTTTTCTTTTATTTGGACTGGGTTTTTGGAATAGTGCACAGGGGTTCTGGGCTCCAGTAAAATGTCTGCTGTTCAGTACAACAAATATAAAAAAGAATATTATCACTGGCCTAGCAGAGGAGAGCTCTACATTTCTTGTTGATGGCTTCTTTCTGTTTATTTTTGTGTGTGTATATGTGTCTTAGACAGACTAAAATAATAGCATTTTTTGTGAATTATGTTAACAGAGTGTAGTATGATGTTACTGGGCCTCTATCATTTGTAAGCTAAACTTGTCCAACAAAGCAGTGTGAATTAATGGGCCTATTTACAAGGCGAATGCAAAGGGGACCATGTAAAAGGCAATTAACTCACAGCAGCCAATGGGATTTCAGTTAACTGCAGCTAGGTCCATCTAGACATTATTTGGGATTGGCTACTATGGGTCATTGCACTTTGAATAACAATCACATTCTATGGGGTATCTACTGGAGTGCATAAATTGTACCTAAGGCCAGTGAAAAGCCAATGGGAAACAAAGGCAGATTGGTACAATGTTTATTGATTTCAGCTGCCACTTTTAGGTCATTCTTTATTTTACATGTATATATAAAAAATCATCTTTTCTAGAGCAGCTCTGGTTTCAGTTACATTTGTTTAAAGTTATTGTAACTATTGGGGATCCACTGAGCTCTCAGCTAGATCTGCAGCAATTCTACCATTGAACCCCCTTAGCTACATTATCTGCGATCACTGCTAGGCATGATGTTTGCATGATGTGTGATCTAGTAGCATGGTTTGTGTCAAGCACCTGACCACTTGCCAGAATGCACCAAGCTGTCAAACAAACTCTGATATTATGTGGATAGATTCCATGTGGCTCTATCTAGTCATTGGCTTAGTATCATATGGCAAGGCCTCAATATTTAGAACAGGTGATGGCATTCCTGGGAAACAAGGCGGATTTGCTAAGGTGACTATATATATATATATATATATATATATATATATATATATATATATATATATATATATACTAAAGCCTAAACCTGTAACACAGAGCATTCTCTTTGGTAGCCAAACCTGTATTTTATTATATATATATATATATATAGTATGTACAGTATGTATACTATATATATTATACAGTACGTACAGTATGTATACACATTATATATATATATATATATATATATATATATAAATTTATATATGATTATTCTTGCAAAGAGCCAAAGCATTCTCTTTTGCCAACCAACCTGAATCTTAATAAATACATATATATATATATGTATATATATATATATATATATGTATTTATATGTATATAAATTTATGTATTCATTAAGATTCGGTTGGTTGACAAAAGAGAATGATCTGGCTCTTTACAAGAATAATCATATATTAAAAAAATAAAATATATATACAGTACGTACAGTATGTATATACATTATTTTATATATATATATATATATATATATATATATATATATAAAATAAAATCTATCCTTGTAGCTCAGAGCATTCTCTTCGGTAGTCCAGCAAGAATTTCTATTATATATATACACATACATACATATACACATACACACACAGCACTCCCTTTGGCAAACCTACCTGAATTTTATACACATTTCTCACAGTTGAAGTCAGTAACCGAAATATAAAAAGATAAAAAAAAAAAAAAAAAAAAAAAGAAAAGCTGTAAAATTGCAATTAATGATTATATAAGCAGTGTGACCCCTAACAGTAATGATATGTAAATGGTATGTAAATCAAAATTCTCTGCCTGAACTCCAAATTCCCGACTTCTGATCAGCCCCATCCAGCTTTTATCATGTAAATGATGGAAGAACAAATAATGGCATCCTTCACGTTTCTCTAGCAGATATATAGATGTGTGCTGTGTAATTCAGGCTGTCGTGTTTCCCCAAATCCTGAGCCCATAATAAAAACTCCGATATTTGGCAGGAGAAGAGATATGCCAAGTCTCTGCTTTCCTGTAGAATGAGGAATTCTGCAGCGATCGGAAGCTGACCCATATTGTTGTAGAGAACAATACAAGTAGGGTCAGCAAGCAATTAAACAGCTACTTCTGTGGAACAGATGGCGGTTTATGTAGCCAAGACGTGTCTTTGTGTAGTAATGTACTGTAATAATCTGCTCATCAAGACTGTTGTGCTGCATGTTCTCATGTCACTCTCTCATCTGGCTGTCATTGATCCAGGTGTGGTTCCAGAACCGGCGCTCCAAAGAGAGGAGGATGAAGCAGCTGAGCGCCCTGGGAGCCCGCAGACATGCCTTCTTCAGGAGTCCGAGGAGGATGAGACCGCTGGTGGACCGCCTGGAGCCAGGGGAGCTCATCCCCAATGGGCCCTTCTCCTTCTATGGAGGTAAGTCATCATCGACACAACTTTACTGGGGGTTTTTTTCTCTGGCACAAAAGTTCCTGCGTAATGATCAGTAAATACTTGCATAAAACTGCCGGGTTTTTTTCTTCCCCCATACCTGCATCTGCCATAGTGTATACGGATGTCTGCAGACACAAATTTCTGGATTTGTTTTACGGATCAGAACGCAGTGCATGTTTACACACCTGCATGAATGTCTCCACTGAAAACAATGCAGCTGCTTTCAAATCCATAAATCAAAAATGCCTGTAAAGGCATTTTATTTTACGGACATATGAATGAGGCCTTGTGCTTGACCCCATACCGTCCCTTGCAACTAACTTGGCACCATACCATTCCTTGCAACTAGCTTGACCCTATACCAGCCCTTGTAACTAGCTTGACCACATTCCACCCCTTGCAACTAGCTTGACCACATTCCACCCCTTGCAACTAGCTTGACCCCATTCCATCCCTTGCAACTAGATTGACCCCAAACTATCCCTTGGGAATAACTTGGCACCATACCATCCCTTGCAACTAGCTTGATCCCATACCATTCCAAGCAACTATCTTGACCCCATACCATTCCTTACGACTAGCTTGACCCTATACCATCCCTTGTAACTAGCTTGAGCCCCTACCATCCCTTGTGAGTAGCTTGACCTCAAACAATCCCTTGCAACTAACTTAACCCCATACCATCCCTTACAACTAGCTTGACCACATACCATCCTTTGCGACTAGCTTGACGCCATACCTTCCTAAGCAACTAGGCTGACCCCAGACTTTCCTAAGCAACTAGCTTGACACCATACCATCCCTTGCGACTAGTTTGACCCCATATCATCCCCACTAGATATACCATACCATAGATTTGATACCATACCATCCCTTGTGACTAGCTTGACCCCATACCATCACATACGACTAGCTTGACACTATACCATCCCTTGCGACTAGCTTGACCCCATACCATCCCTTGTGACTAGCTTGACCCCATGCCATCACATGCGACTAGCTTGACACTATACCATCCCTTGCAACTAGCTTGACCTCAAACAATCCCTTGCAACTAACTTAACCCCATACCATCCCATGCAACTAGCTTGACCCCATACCATCCTTTGTGACTAGCTTGACCTCATACCTTCCCATGCAACGAGCTTGACCCCATACCATCTTTTTATGACTAGGTTGGCCCCATACCATATCTTGTGACTAGCTTGACCTCATACCATCCCATATGACTAACCTGACACTATACCATCCCTTGCAACTAGCTTGACCCCATACCATCACATGGGATGGTATAGCTTGACACTATACCATCCCATGTGACTAGCTTGACACTATACCATCCCTCGCAACTAGCTTGACTCCATACCATCCCTTGCGACTAGGTTTACCCCATACCATCACATGGGATGGTATAGCTTGAAACTATACCATCCCATGTGATTAGCTTGACACTATACCATCCCTTGCAACTAGCTTGACCCCATACCATCCCATGTGACTAGCTTGACCCCATACCATCCATTGCAACTAGCTTGACATCAAATGATCCCTTGCATCTAACTTAACCCCATACCATGCCATGCAACTAGCTTTACCCCATACCATCCTTTGCGACTAGCTTGACCTTCCCATGCAACAAGCTTGACCCAATACCTTCCCCATGCAAATAGCTTGACACCATACCAACCCTTGCAACTAGCTTGACCCCATACCATCTTTTACAGCTAGGTTGACCCCATACCATCCCATGTGACTTACCTGACACTATACCATGCCTTGCAACTAGCTTGACCCTATACCATCCCATGGGATGGTATAGCTTGACACTAACTATACCATCCCATGGGAAGGTATAGCTTGACACTATACCATCCCATGCGACTAGCTTGACACTATACCATCCCTCACAACTAGCTTGACCCCATACCATCCCTTGTGACTAGCTTGACCCCATACCATCCCTTGCAATTAGCTTGACCCCATACCATCCCTTGTGACTAGCTTGACCCCATACCATCCTTTGTAACTAGCTTGACCCCATACCATTCCTTGAGACTAGCTTGACCTCATACCATCTCTTGCAATTAGCTTGACACCATATTATCCCTTGCAACTAGCTTGACCCCATACCATCCTTTGCGGCTAGCTTGACCCCATACCATACCTTGCAACTAAAGTCTCATTCACATATTTGGCCAAAATGTGGCATTTATTACGCATCTAAATGCAGCACTAAAGGAATGGGGCCATACACACAGTCACAACAAAAATGTGCACTGTGTCTAGTGGCATCCAAAAAAGTATGACACAGCTGCTTCCAGGGCCATACACATCGGCAGATTTTACACGTGTACATGTATAAACATGTGAACGTGTATGCGCAAAAGTCATTAGCCTAAATGCATGGTTGAATTAATTTTACAATCATAGGCGTTATTTTTGTGGCATGAAAGTTTCTGCGTACGACTACGTTCACGCTAGCATAGTAAGTCGCAGCATTTTACCATGCAGACTAGCGCAGTGTTGGCTCCAGCAGGGAGATATGTGATGCATATATTAGCAGAATTACTGGAAATGGGTAATGGTGCATGTTCACAAAGCATTTGGGCTACTTTATAAAAACAGCAGAAAAGTATTTGTGTTGTCCATGGCATCCAATCAGATTGCAGCTGTCATTTCTCCAGCACATTTTAGACAGCCAGTGCTAGGATGATTGCTATATAAAACAATAAAGCTAGCCATAAACGGAACAATCTGATTGGATTTACTAAAGCTATGTAATAAGAGGACACACTTATACAACTTTTTTAATTTGTATCAAATTAGGCTGGCCCTTGCATTAGAAATTGGTGGAAGATTTAAAGAAGATTGTCCAATCAGACTGTATGCCTAGTTCGGAGGGGGGGCAGTAATTATTACATGACATGACAGCCAGGCAACTGTAAGAAGCACAGGCCAGCAATGACAGCCACAGTAAAGTGTATCTAAACCCAGGAACAAAAATTAAATATTTTGCATCTTACAATTTCTTAGATGTGGTCTGCATTAGTAACACAGCCCCTGTCTACCAGTGATCAGGCTCACTCACTCTACTGTATCTGTGGAGTAGCAGCCTAGTCAGTCTTGGCTGATCTCCTGATTTGCACTACAGAACACCTCCCTATCTCCTTATCTCCATAAGATAAGAAGGGGGAGGGGGTGTTCTGTAGTCCACAGAAGAGAACTGGGAAGGCTGATAGCACCATTTGATTTTTCCATTCAATGCATAGGATGTTGCCAGGACACTGAATTTCTGGCAGGATCAACAGGATGATTCCTCTCCTAAAAACGAATGCAGCCACCAGATTTAAAGACTCACAATATAAGGCACAATCAATATATTACAATTTAGTACTTGGGTTTAAATATCCTTTCATGTAAAGTGCTGGATAAACTGTTGGGGCTGTATACATTCTGTAGGATAATAATCTCAGTAGACTCTTCTTACATTGTGAGATGTCTGCTTCTCAGAACTACTGGAAATAGGTTGTGGTGCATGCTTCCAAAGTATTTGGGCTACTTTATAAAAACTGTAGGAAAGTATTTGTTTTGTCCATGGCATCCAATCCAATTTAGCTCTAAATCCAGTGTTAGCATTGCTATAAGAATAAATAACGCTGACCATACACTATACAATCTGATTGCACAATTTCCTTTAGATTTACCAAGGCTATGTAACAGGATATTTCTATTCAACCCATTTGATGTGTATCAAATCAATCTGGCCTTTGCCGTACATAGTTGATGGAAGATCTAAAGAAGATTGTACAATCAAATTTTGTTGAGTGTATGGTCACCTTAAGGCTGATTTACTGTGTGTGTACTGTGTATTTAATATTCACCTCAGTTATCCAGCCAAATGCACATGAAATAAATAGGAATTCACTTTACGTATGATTGAATCATAAATATATACATATAGGTGAAGGTTCTCAAATCCTTTATCTCCCTCAATCACTTTATTTTTCCTAGCTCCTTTTGTCCCATATAATTGTCCAGCATGAATTACATTGTTATGAAAGGCAGATTGTAGGGAATGCCGAGTTTAAGCTGTAATTAGAGCTCCAGTTTTCAGTTTTCATGAAGCATTGCTTGTAATCGCTACTTACAAATATATAGGATGTATGGGTGGCATTGGACGTTTTCCACAATAAAACAGCTTGCAGGGTGATCCTGAATGTAAAGCTGGCATACCAGGGAGCTGAGACAATGAAATCAGGAAAATATGAATACAATAGGAAATGCTGTTATTCACTGCCCGATGAAAGTATTTTTCGGTTTATTATTATTATCTTTATTATTATTCTATACTTTATTATTATTATTATTATATTTTTTATTTTTTATTATCTTTATTATTAATATTCTATACTTTTTATATTATTATTATATTATACTATTTTATACTATGCTTAATTTTATTATATACTTTATTATTTATTTTTTATTATTATTAACTTTATTATTATTACTATTATTATATTATATACTTTTATACTATGCTATATTTTATTATTATTATTATTATTACTACTACTATATTATTCTATACTATACTATACTAGGCTTATACTAGACTTTTATTTATTAATTATTATTATTATTATTATTACTAAATTATTCTAGGCTATACTATATTATTATTATTTTTATTATTACTAAACTACACTATTCTAGGCTATACTATACCATATTATTATTATTATTGCAATACTAAAATATTATTGTATACTATACTAGGCTATAATATACTATATTATTATTACTATACTATTCTAAGCTATACTATACTATATTATTACTATACTATTCTATACTATACTATATTTTTATTACTATACTATACTATAATATTATTATTATTGCTTATACTAAAAACTATTCTATACTATATTATTATTTTTACTATACTAAAAAAAATTCTATACTATACTAGGCTATACTATATTATTATTATTACTAAGCTAACCTATTCTAGGCTATACTATACTATATTATTATTATTATTATTATATATTACTAAACTATTCTATACTATACTAGGCTATACTATATATATTATTATTATTATTATTATTATTATATTATTATTAAATATCTATAAAATTTAATTATTATTATTATTAAAACTATTCTATACTAAACTATTTCTATACTATATTATTATATTACTATACTAAACTATTCTATACTATACTAGGCTATACTATACTATATTTATTATAAATATTACTATACTAAACTATTCTATACTATACTAGGTTATACTATACTATATTACTATTATTACTATACTAAAACTATTCTATACTATACTAGGCTATACTATACTACTATTACTTAACTAAACTGTTCTATACTATACTAGGCTATATTATACAATATTATTAAAATTACTATATTATACTATATCTCCTTTTCAGAGATAATTCATGATTTGCAATTATTGCTTTGCTACTGATTGTGGCTTTTTATTAAGCGTTTCGGCTATTGAGTGTATAAAGAAGTCAGGATCATAGACATGTAGCAAAATGTTTCCCAATCTGTGGAAGATGAAACTTTTACAATACATTTCTCTTATTTGCTTCCTGTTTGGTCTGTTAAGTATATAACTGAAAACATTTTATTATATTCTACAAGAAGAAAAAAAACCTGTTCATTCAGCCAGGCTTGTGAGCTAATAACTTCATGTATTCTCTGACTCTGGACAGTTAGCAGATAAGATTGCTCCATGCTATCTAAACGGACTATAAGATACCTCCCCCAGTTATGGAGAAGAGAGGGAGGTGTTACATAGTCCTACCACACTCCTTGTACTAGAGTGACAACTGCTGCCCTTGTCACCATAGCACAAGAAGTGAGTTAATGGAAGGATTATCAGGTTAAAAGAAAAGAAAACAATTGTGAAAAAATAAACCTATTGCAGCCACCACATAATCGGTAAACTGCAATTATATCAATGTATGTTCTTGGCTTCAGATACACTAAAGGCTATCGTTTAGATATTGTTTTCATTGACGGAGATTAGAGGACAGAGAAAGTAGTTTGGGTTTTAGATTGGAGGAAAGAAAAAACAACCGCTAAACTGTGCACAAAAACGCTCTATATATATCAGCGTTTTTTTTCTGCCATGGAGAAACTGGAGGGTTTTTTTGCTTAAGCCCAGTGTGCATGGAGCCGGCTGTTTGTATTGTGTGGTGCTTTACCACACCCAGCAACACAAAGAGAATTGTTTTAGCTTGCCTATGGTGCAAACATTGGCAATAATTAAAAAAAAAACATTTGAATAAGAACTAGAAGTATTTATATTTGTCTGTATAGGTAAACTGTGTTCATTTCAATACTGGGAAATAACTCTCAATATGGGATATTACCTCTCATTTTAGATGGAATGCTGTTTTATGTTGATCAATCTCAGTGTAAAGCTGACCATACACTATACAATGTGATTGTGCAATCTTTTAGTTCCACCATCCACTATGTAGTGCAAGGGTCTGTCTGATTATATATTATTGAATCACATATGACACACATTTTGGTAACTTTAGAGTCACCAAACACATTACAATCTGACCTTACCATCTTTGTCCAATCAACTTTAGATTTATCAAAATTATGTAATATGAGGACATACCTAAACTATCTATTCTACTTGTATCCAAGCTGATAGGCTCGTGTACTGCATAATGATTGGTAGAGCTAAGGGTTTCACACCATGTGCAGTGACCTGCATTTTTCTGCACTGGATCAACTCAGGTCACTGCAAGGGCACATAGAAATCAATAGTTTCCTATGTGATTCGTTCACACCACAATGCTGTGCACACATGCGTTGCAGTACATTGCATTACAATGAAACCTGTCCCATGAACATGAATGCATGTAAATGCAATGCAACTGAAAGTAAAGATTAAAAACAAAATTGTTACAAGTGATTGTAAACCCTCCCCTTATAAAACAACCCATTCAGTTTAAGATAGAAATGAAAAACAAAACATTTGTGTATAGATATATAAAAAAAATATATAAATGCCTTCCCCCCCCCCCCCTTTTTTTTTTATAAGTGATTGCATACCCTCTGTTCTCAGCTGCAAAAGAGCCAGGGAAGGAGAAACAACAGGGAAAGGCTGTGGGTTGTCAGCAGAAGTCTGATCATTGGAGGAGAGCACACTGGGGTTGATTTACTAAACCTGGAGAGTGCAGAATCTGGTGCAGCTCTGCACAGAAACCAATCAGCCTCCAGGTTTAATTGTCAAAGCTTCATTGAACAAACTGAAGCTAGAAGCTGATTGGCTACCATGCACAGCTGCACTGGATTTTGCACTCTCCTGTTTTAGTAAATTAACCTGAGCTCCCAGCACAGCTAAAGAATTGACCACACTAGGGGAGATTTACTAAAGCTGGTTCACTCAGAATCTGGTGCAGCTGTACATGGTAGCCAATCAGCTTCTAACTTCATTTGTTCAATTAAGTTTTAGCAATACAATCTGGAAGCTGATTGGACTCCATGCAGAAGTGCACAACATTCTGAGTGAACCAGCTTTAGTAATAAACCCTACTGTGTCCTCCTGCTTAGTGTGGTCAGCTTTGAATAGGAAAGCAGAGGGACTGGCAGGGACACCAGAGATTTCACACAAAAGAAGTAATATGGAGGGAACAGGATCATTTTTCATACAAGTACATGGAACAGGAATATGAAATGTTGGGTTTACATATTCTTTAATATTTTGACATTTCCGATGAAATGAAAATGCATTCCAAAACACAATAAAGTGCAACTTAATGCAATGCAATGAGCATGAACATGCAGGTGAAATGCACATCAACACACATGCATTTTTGAGTTCTTATGCGCTGAATGGTCCCTTAGGGCCTGTTCACACCATAGAAACGCAGTCCAGATGTGTTCCGCAAGCACTTTTTTGAAGCATCCCAGTGTGTTTTTTGATGCATTTTGGTGTGTTTTTGATGCTCTCTGGTTAATTTTTTCCCTTTTCTTTTTCTTCAATTTCAATAAGGACATATGCATTCCAGTGCATTTTTGGCCCTTAGGGCTAGTTCACACTAGATGCAGTTCAGTGTTTTTTTTTTTCCGCATCAAAAATGCATGCACAGTGTTTTCCATGTATTCCAATGACCCTAGTTCACACCAGTGCAGTCAGTTCCAGTCAGTTTCCGGTGCAGAAAAAAAAGTAGAACATTATTTCTGCACAGAACCATACTGGAACATAGAAAACTGCATCAAAACTGCACCAGAACTGCATGTGGTGTGAACTGTGAGCAAAACGTATCTGGAATGCATCCGGAGTGCATCTTTGTAGTGTGAACTGGCCCTTAGGGGTAATTACCACTACATGTATTTCTGTGTGCTTTTTTTCTGCAACCAAAACGCACAGAAAGTAGGTGATATGGTTATCAATGTCGTACTGGAACACGGTAAAAACGCTTTAAAAATGCACTGAAAAAAAAATGCACTGGAACGCATCAAAAATGCATCGGAACCTGCCAAGAACACATCAAAATCTTGCATGCGGACAGGAATCCGGAATGCATCTGGACTGCATTTCTATGGTGTGAACCGGGCCTTAAGGAAATTGTACAATCAGATTGTTACATGTATGCTGAGCTTAAAGGAGATCCTACATAGATTGTATTTTACGTTGCCCTTTTTTGAATTGTTGTGTAAAATTGCTGTTCTTTTCTGTTTGACAGACTACCAGAGTGAGTATTATGGGCCCGGAAGCAACTACGACTTCTTTCCTCAAGGACCCCCCTCATCACAAGCTCAGACCCCTGTAGATCTGCCCTTTGTAGCCTCCTCTGGACCAGCAGGCACACCACTTGGTACAATGGAGCACCCCTTACCTGGACATCACCCTTCTAGTGAGGCTCAACGCTTCACTGACATCATGTCCCACCCCCCAGGAGACTCTCCCAGCCCAGAGCCCAACCTGCCCAGCTCCATGCACTCTATGTCTGCAGAGGTGTTTGGTCAAAGTCCCCCCTTTTCCTCTCTATCAGTCAATGGGGGAGCAACGTATGGGAATCACTTGTCACATCCACCAGAAATGAATGAAGCGGCTGTCTGGTAGCTTGAGAACCAACAGACGGCCTAACAATAAGACTGGTGCCAATAGCCATCTTGGTTGACACTGCTCTGGCACACACAATTCCCTTCTGAAACAATATCTGTCTGGATGGAGTCTGAAGGACGCTGGACAAAAACAAAAAACTGGAAGCTGCAATCCCAGTAGATCACATCCATTATCCCAGTAGATGGTAGGCAATCCCAATTCCCTCAACACCACATAAAAAAAAACAAAACACAAAAACAAAAAAATATATTTCTATAAAAGTGATATTAAACCCTCTGTTTTTAAGCGCTTTCAGCAGCTGATTTAGTCATTCACTGAGTAAGCAGCCCTTCACCATGTAATCCTTGCCTATGTTTCAGTTTAAGTTGGTGCCATGAATGCTGACCCAAGTTTCCTGTTTCAGGATGGCTCCTTTCTCTTACAGCATCCTATGGAGCCACCCTTGCATGCAGGGACTATAGCTGTGTCTCCTCTCACTGTGTGCATCAATAGAAACACATAGCCCAATAGCCTAGGAAGGCAAGGAACTCCTCTGCTCCTCCCCTCCTCCAAACTAACAGACTGGCTGGGGACTGAGCTGGCCACTGATAACTTTTTCCTGTGAAGACCAGAAGTTCAGGGAAGCAGTACTGAGAGAGCAGCATTGAAAGTTGTAAACAAGTGATGGGGTAAGAATTTACAAATAGTTTACTGGAGAATGTTTTTTTTTCTCTGCTCGGCGTGTTCAACTAAAAAACATTGAGGGTTTAATACTACTTTAAGGATTGACCTAGTCTGGTCCAGTTGGTCCATTTTCTGCACCTCAGAGTTTGACAAGCCAGTAAAAGCTTCAGAATAGCTAAACCTGACTTCCAGGTGGAGACAGAACATTTATTTGCCAAAATATCAAATACAAAAAAAAGTAAAAGCCCTCAGCATCAACTCTTCTACCTTCACAAAGCTACTGACACAAATCAAGGATCCTCACCATGAAGGTCTGCTGTCAGATCTGTTCTATATAAGACTGACTTGAAAAAAAAAAAAAAAGATTCTACCTTCACTGACAGCGGAAAACTAAAAAGACTTATTGAACTCAAAACAGTCAACTGTTTACGTCTGACGTTCAATTCAGGAGCCTAAAACGTTTTAGTAATAATCCACTTTTAAAAACCTCTGTTCATAACCAAGCAAAACGTTTTGAGCAATCAACCAAAATAATTCATTCTTTAGTTTTTGTTTTCTGTGGGACTGAATGAAGAAAGAGAATTTTTGTTTTAGTTTTTTTTTGTGTTGTTTTGTTTTATTTTTTATGTTTTTTTGGGGGGGAGGTGTTTTTTTTTGGTACACTGTGCTAGTTTTTGAATTTCGTTTACAGAAGGCGACAGAAAGTGAACAAAACGTGAGGTGCCAAATAAAAGAAATAGCACAAAATACTGTAAGGTGCGTTAGCACCAGCCACCATAGAAAACGAAAAAAACAAACAAAAAAGTGTTTAAAATGTGTTCTACACTTTCCAAACATTTGATATACTTTTTAGTCCTGTTGAACATTCATTGACTTGTTAATGGCTTATATAGACCCAGACAGGTTTTATTTTTGTGTCCTTTAAAAGAAAAGTCCAAAATATTTAAATTTTATGGTCAAATATGCAGTCCTGAGCTGCTTTTTTCTTTATATATTAAAATTTTTCTCATACGTCTTTTATTGTTAATATAAGCCTAAGCTAGTGTGACCTCCAGTGCATATTAGACCATTCACTGTATGAAAGGAAAAAAATAAAACATGTTGATAATTTGTGAATTTTTAATAAAATTAGAAAATGATGTTTAGATAATTTGTATTTCATTGAGTGTATCGGATTATAGTTTGGCTGGCCAAATAATATATACGTATTTCTATGTTGTCTATTGTTTAGCATTCTTTATTTATTAACTTTGCCTTTTGAATAGTTATTGTGCAAAAGAAATGTGTTCAATTCTATCCTGAAATCCAAATAATTTATAATCATCGCTCGTCCAATTTAACGGGTGTATTTATTATAGGATAGCCAGACCCTATGCCGTTATAATAATTAGAATGTATTCAATTATAAATAATTAGATATACTATTTTCTGAGAATTTTAAGAAATTAAAAGCATTGGGTTTGATAGCAGCTCCCCTATAGTGTGTGTTCTATCCAAAGGAAAATAATGGCGAGGTTTATTTCCGAAAATATGGACCTGATCGCTTGCGGTTCCCTTTCTGTAATATCTGCATAGCTTTCTCCATTAGAACAGGCTTCTATAAGCAACTGTTTTTAGATCCCAATATCTAATTTCCTTTAAGGGTCATGCTGCTTTTTTGTAATTTAACTCTTAAACTCCAAATGTGCTCAATGGTTTCTGTTTTACATTAATGGAATATTATAAAACGAGTACATGAAAGAGAAAAAAAAATACATTTTACCTATCTAATTTATTTTTAAATCTTTCTCGAGCAGCAGTATATTGTGTGAGCAACTGTTCATCATTTTCATCACCTCCCTAATGTATAGAGATGGCTATGCTGCTAGGGACTATGGAGGTGATCATATACCCTGGATGAAGTGCATGCCTCCTCTGTACATAGAAATCTGTTGATGTCTGAGTTTCCACAGATTGCCTGTCACTGGCTGGCCTGATCCATGAAGTATAGCTGGGAGCCCTCGAACAGGGCAGCACATTTGATAATCTGACAGCTCGGAGAAACTGAAATCTTGCTGACTACAGGATGCCGGGAGTGCACCGCCTACAACAGCCTGATTTCTCCGGATTCATTCTGGAAGCCGGCTATTCATTGATCCAACAATTGCCCTGATATTCCATACTCCAGTGGCTAGTGCGGTCACAGCAGGGTGACGTCACAATGCCATATTAGGACTGATAGGCTGCATAAATCATATACCTGTCCTGTAGTCCCTCCTGTTTAATGGATTCTAATTCAGGGGGACCTGATCATTAATCCGAAGTCATTATCTATTAAAAGCCTCCTTTTATAGTCGCATATTTTAAATAGAAATTTGTATGCTATATACCTGTCGATTCTGCTAGCTCTGTGGCTAAACACTAATTGTATATATATATATATATATATATATATATATATATATATATATGTTATATACGTTGAAAAATTGTATTATATACCAAATTTCATACATGTATACAGGCACACACATATAGTATATTATATGTACATACATATATGAATATATGTGTAATGTATATAACACACACACACACATATATATATTTATATATACATATATTTATTTGTTAACTCATATGGGTAAGTACTATTTGATTCTTGAAAAAAAGAATAAGAATAAATAATATATAAAATTATATATATATATATATATATATATTATATATATATATATATATATATACATACATACACACACACACATTTTTATTTATTTGTATTTTTAATTATTTTTAAAGAATCAAATAGAGGTAGCTAGATCGATCGATAGATAGATCGATAGATAGATAGATAAACGATGAATACATACATGGACAGATAGATAGATCTAGATAAAGATATAAAAGTAAGATGGTGGATAGATAAATAGAGAGAGAGAGAAAAGAAAGAAAGAAAGAAAGAAAGAAAGAAAGACAGAAAACAACGGATACATAGACAGATAGATAGATAGATATAAATAGAAAAAGAGATCAAAATATGATAGATAGATAGATAGATAGATAGATAGATAGATAGATAGATAGATAGATAATGAAGAATTTATGTATGTGTGTAAGTATATAGAAGATAGATAGATAGATAGATAGATAGATAAAAAAAAGAATAGACAGATAGGGGTTTATTTACTAAAGCTGTAGAGTAAATAATCAGGCTCACTTCTGCCTATAAACCAATCAGCTTCCAGGTTTTATTGCCAAAGCTTAATTGAACAAGCTGAGGTTAGAAGCTGATTGGTTTTTATGCAGAAGTGAACCTGATTTTGCACTCTCCAGCTTTAATCAATAATCCCCATATAGATACATAGATAGGAAGAGTGGATTAGATAGAATCTAGAGCAGCTGTGCAAGGCAATCAATCAGCTTCTAGCTTTCATTCTAAAAGCTTAACAGAACAAGCTGAAGCTAGAATCTGATTGGTCACTATGCACAGCTGCTTCAGATTGGGGGTTGATCTACTAGAACAGAAGCTCTCGGAATCTGGTGCAGCTGTGCATACTAACCAATCAGTTTCTAACTTCAGTTTGTTCAGTTAAGCTTTGACAATAAAACCTGGAAGCTGATTGGTTTCTTTGCAGAGCTGCACTAGATTTTGCACTCTCCAGCTTTAGTAAATAACCCCCTCTCTGCTCCAGTTTTAGTATGGATGTATTTTTACAGGCAAGTCCTAGTCCTAGCTGTGATCATGAAAGGACAGTGAGATTTGGGCACACAGTGACAGCAGGGAGGGACTGTCAGACAGAGGATCACTGGTGATCTCTACAGTATGAAAGCATATAGCAGATCCCTTAGGAAGAAATCCTCTGGAGCTTGTAATGATAAGACTTGGTGAGGTCCTTCTGGTACCCACCCAGATCCCTAGGAGTTGTCCCCCAGCCTGACGTCTCCCTCCCCAGGCTTTGTGAAGCGGCGGAGCGCCGTGTCTATGGCAGGAACAAGTGGTAATTAATGAGATCCCTCTGCCCTCTGTAGGACAATAGGCAGCACTGAACAGAGCGCACAGCGGCCTCACTGTCGGCTTGCTTTCAATGTGCCGTTGAGCAAATTACATTTCTCAATTTCTTTCCAGACCATGTGTTGATGTAAAAGAAAAGCAAATCCGACAGCAAGGCGAGGGCAGAAAGCACAAAAGGGTGGAGAGAGTTCTCTTTAACCCTGTTCATTCATGCTGGGGCTCATTGCCTTATTTCTGTCTACCTGCCTTGGATGAGAGTGGATGGTTGGATCCTATAAATATCTGTGGGGTTTATTTACTAAAACTGGAGCGTGCAAAATCTGGTGCAACTCAACATAGA